TCTTAGAGCTAATCTCAGACATTCATCTAAGCTCACTCCTAACTCCACCCCATGCTACCTCTGATTTGACAGATAACTTCCTATTACCTTTCTGCACTCTTTTAAAGCCTTGTGTATATTTCTATCATAACTTTTGAATTATCTTGTAAATGTTTATTTTCTTGTCTGTTTCCTCAAATAAATTATGAGCTCCTGAAGCCAATGTTTTATATTTAAATTCTCAGTTTGTAGCTCTGTCTCTGGCATAGAGCAGATCTTTAGTTCCTCTGCGCCCCATCAGGTGCTTGGGCCCCATCTATAACATCCCACTGAAGGTCTTCCAGCCTCTATTGCAGAAAGATCACAGTACCTTCTCAACCAACCAGTTGGAAAGTTTTTCCTTGTGCTGAACCAGAAGATTATTTAGAGCTTTTAAACATCTTTTCTTAATCTTGTCCCTTGGTGATATAATAAAAGGTAAGTGATCAGAGGCCAGAGCCAGCACAAGATTATGGGTTCTAGAATAGTAAGCAGGAGAAACAAGATAAGGCAAGGTTCGAACCCAACAGAGTTTCCCTTGCGCCTTTATGTAGCAGGAACAAATCTCAAAAGGCAATCTCAAAAGTTGCCTCACGTTACTAGAAAAATAGCATGCCGGAACTAAAAGTTGAAGCTATATGCTAGCCTCCTTTTAGACAATGAAACAGGACTGGTTCTTAGAAAAAAAATAATCTGGTACAGGACTAGATTGCTTAAAGATTTGGCTTAAATTCGTCTCCTTCAAAAGGCCCTCTCCAACTTCGGCAATTCCCAAATGAGAACTGTTTTTCTACATGTCCTTCAAATGCTGATGAACACAGATTATACCCTATCGTTTTATGCTTATTGAAATGTCATATAGTAGTATTTTAGCTGCTTCATCTCACTATTGTCTCTGTCTCACCATCTAGAATATTTACACACATAAAACCAAAGATGTATACCCTATAGTTTTTGTTATTTATGATTTTATTTCCCCTGCCATACAGAATGCACTGCAATCAGGGCTCTTCTATAGAGTCACAATCAATGGCTGTTTGGTGACCAGCACATAGTGGGGGCCAGTGCCCCATCAGGCAGACTCTTGAATGCTGAGGGAGAGCATATGGTAGTAGTTCTGAAGACTGGGATCCTGGGGAGATGAGAGGGTGGTGATTAGAACATGTGCTCACCTGAGGATGACTGAAGGGGCCCCTCACTCCTCCTTCAAGAGAGGAAAGAAGTGAGAAGCATGTGGTGGGCCATCAGAAAACACTGTTGTTTCAGACCAGAGGAGCTTACCTTTAAGGTGCTTTGCAAAGACTGGCAGGTGAGAAAGGGTTTTGTTGGGAAGGAAAAAAAAGAAACTGGTGTATTTCTACGTGTATTATCTAGATATGGTGGTATTAAATATGTGTGGGTCTTTATATGTCAACCATACTTCAATGAAGCCGTTAAACAATAAAATTACAGAGAACAATATGCAGAAATTTTTTAAAAAGAGACAGTCTATGACCTTAAAAAGCTCAAACTCAGTAGGAAGACAGGTACACATATGACAATCATGTGTTTGTATAGGAGGGAAGAAAGGAAAAATCTCAGACTTTTTTTAAAAATATTTTTTATTTATTTCTAGGAGAGAGAGAGAGAGACAGTGCGAGCAAGGGAGGGTCAGAGAGAGAGGGAGATACAGACTCTGAAATTGGCTCCAGGCTCTGAGCTGGCAGTCAGCACAGAGCCCGACGCAGGGCTCGAACCCACGAACCGCAAAATCATGACCTAAGCGAAAGTCGGACGCTTAACTGACTAAGCCACCCAGGCGCCCCAAATCTCAGACTTTTAGAACGAGGAAGTTGGCATTGCTTCCTGGAGAACGTGGGGGGTGGGGAAGAGAAATACGAATGGTTCAGAAAAGCTCAGGTGAGTCAAGTACATATTCATTAACTGCAACCATCATGCTGCATTGATCTAGACCTATGTCTAGAGCATAAGGAGAGAGACAAGGTCCTAAGGCCTCCCCACACCCACTGCCAATCTTAAGTGCATTGAATTATTCCCTAACCAACCTGTGAAGTGAAATATCTTTGTTGTCAGATGACTGGTGCTTTGCTTTGTATCTGTGCATGAAGGAGGCCAGATGCAGGTGACAGACATTCTGCCAAGTGAAGAGGGTATTCCCAAGAAAGGGCATGTTGGCACCCAAGGGAGGTGAGGAGAGCAGCCTGGTATAGGCCGTTAAAGCCCCCAGCAGATTGAAAAGGGCATCCATACTGGGCAAGATGTGTGCCATGTTGGGCATCAGCGCTGAACTGAGGTGAGGAGGGTTCCAACAAGGAGAGGACTCCTCGGCACAGGGTGTTGGTTCCCAAGCAGGATGACAGGGGGCGTGTGCAAGGGAGAGAAGGTTGTCGTTGCAGTGGACAACTGGGTACATACAAGGAGACTGATCAAATAGGTAAATCTGTTAAGGAGAACAAGAGCCAGTTTTCTGTGTTGGATAAAGGAATTGCAAGTATAGAAAGCACACTAGAACACCAGAGTGAACCTTACAGTATCGAAATTGGAACTGGAATTATTGGTGTGCACTTGTGGCTTTTCAATATATGTAGACAGATATAAAGATACATGTGAAAGTGTGTGCATTTGTGTGTATTCCCTAGGCTCCGTCCACTCATGAACAAAGAAGTACTGTCACCTCAAAAGCCCAGGTCTGGTGCCCAACTCTTGTTTTCCAAATACCATCCACCCAAAGCAACCAGGGCTCTTTGGAAAAATAGCTGATACCAAGATAGAAGCAGAGAAAGCACAAAATGAGCCTAGAATATATTCTTGTGCTCTACCTTAAGGAAATACTCAAATACCCATCAGTCTGGGGGCCCTGACAATAAGGATAGTTTAAAAAGGGACACGATTTTTTTTACTTCCAAATCTCCCTTGGACAATGCTTGATACACATTGGAAAATTATTATACCTATCCTTTGAAATAAAAATTAGTACTAATAAATAAATAAAGTTTAAATATGGCAGGGGGTGCACCTGAGTGGCTCGGTTGGTTAAGTGTCCTACTCTTGCTTTTGGCTCAGGTCATGATCTCATGGTATATGGGTTCGAGCCCTGAATTGGGCTCTGTGTTGGCAGCGCAGAACCCTCTCGGGATTCTCTCTCTCTCTCTCTCTCTCTCCCTCTCTCTGCCCCTCCCTGGCTCATGTGCTCTGTCTTTCCTTCTCTCAAAATAAATAAACTTAAAAAAGATTAGCACTGAAGCATGCCTCATGCCAGGCAAATTAATTTTTTTTATCATTCCCATTTCAGCCTTATATCCTGATACCATACCCTCAATTTCTGTAAGCCACCAGTACGAACATACCAGTGCCAGCTGTACCACGTTGGGAAACAATTTTTTAATGGTTAGACTCACATGTGGTTTCTTACTATTTTCCATCGCATCCATATATTCATCCCTTCATTCTTTCAATAAGTATGCACCAAGTACTTGCAAAGTGTTCAATATTGTGATAAGGGTGGGGGACCGTGGAAGGTCCTAGAAGGGCAGACATCTGGGTGGAAACTTGTCCTGAATGGCTCATACTATTTTCGAGTTAAACAGCGGATGAGAGATCAATATTTCAGGCTCTCCCTTTATCCAGGTTTCAGAGGTGAGGAAATGAGAAGATGAGTAGATGAAATGATTTAGCCGTATAAAAACCAATTACATATTAGCCTCCCTAAAACATACACTAAGCCTCTACAAACTTAATGTTGCTAAAAGCATGTCCCGGGGTGCCTTGATGGCTCCGTTCGTTAAGTGGCCAACTTCAGCTCAGGTCATGATCTCATGATTCATGAGTTCGAGCCCTGCGTGGGGCTGTGTGCTGACAACTCAGAGCTTGGAGCCTGGAGTCTGCTTTAGATTCTGTGTCTCCCTCTCTCTCTCTGTCCCTCCCCTGCTCATGCTCGGTCTCTGTCTCTCTTTCTCTTTCTCACTCATTATCTCTGTCTCTCTCTCAAAAATAAATAAACATTTAAAAATAAATAATAAATAAAAAGAAAAGCCTGTCCAAGTGCTCCTATGAGTCTGGAAGCATTCTGAGGATGAGAATGTTGCCTTACTCGCCAATGCTTGCTGAACAAACTGAAATTGTCTGCTCCGGGCTCCCCTCTGCCCAAGAATGAGGACTGGAAGCAGCCGCCAGAGAGGAGGTTAGTGTGTGCCTGTGACCTCTAGGAGGAGCTATGACTTCACCGAAATTCCTGAGGCTGGTCTGGAAGAAGGGAGGGAAATGGTGATGGCCATGGAGGAGGGCAGTTGTGGGGATGAGCACTGGGTGTTATATGGAAACCAACTTGACAATAAACTATAATAAAAAAACAAAGAAGGAAGCGAATGCTCTGGCATCAAGGTTTGCTCCCGGTTCTGTTTGGGAGATGGTACGTGGACAGCCTCGACGTGACAGTCTAGTCCAGGAGGCACTTCTCAACCTCAGCAGCATCGCGTCTGTGGTACCCGTGGCTCCCGCTCCTCAGGACTTGTTGTTACTGTCCAGTGCTTCCCCTATAGGTGTCCGTGCCCTGCTCCGGCTCAGCCCCCCACATAGGTGAGCTGCAATCTGGGGCCACAGCTTGCGGCATATTTCTCTCGTCACCTCGTCCGCACCCACTGACGGGGCTTCCTACCCAGTTTGCATTAAATTCTTGTGTCTTCAAATGATACGCAGCTCTCTCCTACGGAAGGTTCTGGAAGACATGCAAGGTGGCCTGAGTTAAGCCAGGATGAGGCTTGAGTGGGATTTTCCTGGCCCAGTGAGAGGCGGTGGGACTGGGGGGACACCTGTCCAAGGGGAAGGAATGTGTGTCTGCGTGGAGGAGGTGCTGTCAAGCAGAAAGAGGAAGGAAAGACTCAGTTATTCATTGGGGAGGGGAAGGAAGCTACTAACAACAACAAAAAAAGCAGCTATCTGAGAAACCTCCTTGAGGCAGCGGGGGGATGGGCCTATTCCTCTGAAGCTACACGATTGTCCAAACCCACCTCTGGAGGTACGGGTGCAGAGCCTGATGGGAAAGAGGAAGCATGAGCTAAGGAACCAACAGTGGCAGTGACCTCACGTGCAAACCGTCTGTCAGGGCCACAGACACACATGCAGAAGACAAGAATCTGAGCAGAGGCTCACTGAGTCCCTTCCCGTCGGACACTGCAATGAGCTGCTGGCCCCTCTGCTGTGCGGTCCTTTGTCTCCTCGGGGCAGGTGAGTCTGGGAACAGGTGGGACATCTCCATCCTCAGGTTTCTAGCTTTTCCCATGGAACTGCTTCCTAAGACACTTTATTCTTTCTCCCACAGTCCCCCTGGACACTGCAATTACCCAGATACCAAAACACCTGCTCGCAGCAACAGGGAGTAATCAGACCCTCAAGTGCGAACAACATCTGGGACATAATGCTATGTTCTGGTATAAACAGAGCGCTCAGAGCCCACTGAAGCTCATGTTTGCCTACAACTATAAGAAGCTCGTTGAAAATGACAGTATCCCCAGTCGCTTCACACCTGATTGCCCAGACAGCTCCCACCTGGACCTTCACGTGGCCACCCTGCAGCCAGATGACTCTGCCGTGTATCTGTGTGCCAGCAGCAAGGACACAGCCCCGCACAGACAGCTGCTCCCTGTGCACAAACCTCCCCGGTGCAGTCAGGGAGCCGTGGGGATGACCACGGCTCAGCTCAACGTCTCCCGCGGGGCCCCAGACAGCAATCCCAGACCATGACGCTGTCAGTCGGCCGGGTGCAGCGATGCCCCGGTCCCTGCACAGACGCCCACAGCCTGTGACCGGCTCTGCCCGGGTGCCCCCATGCCCGCCGCTGAGGACAGGACAGGAACGGTCCACCCGAGGTCCCTCCAGGAGCTTCCGATCGGCACGTGGCCCCGGGGAAGCTCTCATGAGACGCGTCCCTCTCTGGCCACAGAGGCGCTGCCCAGCCTCCTGCCCACAGGTGCCTTTCTCCGATGTTCTTTCCACCCAGGTGAGACCCTGGACCTCAGCCCCAGTCCCAGCCCCAAACACGCTCAGCCCTTTTCCAGAACACCTGCTTGCCACCCCACGGGGCCCTGTCGGTTCCCACCACTGAAGACAGGAGCTCCCTTGTGAGATTCGGGTCGCTGTCCTCTAGGTCACTCTCTGCTGCACATCTGGGGACTCACCTCCGGACGGGCTTCTCTTCCTCTCAGGCTCTGACAACTTTAAGGCGTGGTTCTTTTTCCTTCTGTCTCTTGGATTCTAATTCTTCAGGTCTTCACATCCTGCGTACCAGCCACTGATGGCCCTGGATTGTTGCTCACCATAGGCAGGAAGGGGTGAAGGCCCCCCGACATTTCAGAGCAGGACCGTATACTCAGGGCCGTCTGTGCTGAACCCCATATTTTCTGACATTGCCCCTCACAATGCCTTACCGCCCCCCCCCCCCCCCCCCCCCCCCCCCGCCCCCCCCCCCCCCCCCCCCGTCCTGCACACACCGTCAGACCCCAAGGGCGGAGTGGAGTCCTGTGTCCTGAGGAGTCTGATGTGTGCACTGACACACAGCCTCCCTCCTCTCTCCTGTAGGGGGCGCTCCAGGGAGCAGTGGGTGTTGCAGGAAATGCTAATGACTCAGGCTGACTAGGAACCACCGGAGCTCAGGATTCTCCTCCTGCTTCCTATGCCCAGAGGCCTGTGCTGGGAGAGGACTCATTCCTGCCCCGATCCTGCCATGGAATCCTGGCTCTTATGTTGGATGATTTTTAGTCTCTTGGAGGCAGGTGAATCCTGGGGAATTTCTCATCTTGGATTTACCTAAGGCTCTCACAAACCATGTCTTTATTCAATCTCTGGCTTCTTTCTCCTCCCACAGGACACACAGAACCTGAAGTCAGGCAGACCCCCAGGCAGCAGGTCACAGAGATGGGGACGAAAGAAATCCTGAGATGTGACCCCATTTCTGGTTACTTATACCTATATTGGTACAGACAGATCCTGGGGCAGAAAGTGGAGTTTCTAGTTTCATTCTACAAGGAAAATATCTTGGAGAGGTCTGAAACAGTCAACGATCGATTGTCAGCTAAAAGGCCTGCTGGATCATTCTCAACTCTGCAGATCCAGCCCACAGAGCTGGGAGACTCCGCCATGTACCTCTGTGCCAGCAGCTCCACCACAGCCTTGCAAAGATGCCTCCAGCCTGCACACAAACCCTCATGTTGCTGCCTCTTTTCCACTTCCCGGAACCCTCTTCCTGCCCAAGTGAAGGAAGTCTGATTTGACTTGGTTTTTCAGCTGTCTCCAAATAGATAGATGTCTGAAATGAAATCACCAAAGGAGTTGTTGATCTTTGGCAGGAATGGCTAGCATTTTTGAAGAACTTTAATAAACACCACAGGGCATGACTGGCCTCTGAAGATGGAGAATTGTTGCCCAGGAAAGACCATCACATGACCTATGTCTTCTCTTTACTTCCTTTTGCTTCTTGGATTTTGCCTTGTTTTAGCAGCTTAGAAAAAGTCATTTTAACTCATAGAATGGAGAAATGATTATCAAGGAAGGGCTTTGGTATTTCCATAAGAGTGCAGAGGATTTCCAACAGTAAACCTTCAGGATGTGCAATTCAGTGTAAGGGTGCAGACTGTCAATGAGTCTTTCCCAGTAAGTACCTGATGCATTTGGGGAAACGATGTTAACTCACATGAGAATGAGTTAAAAGAACAGTAACAATGGAGTCCGATATTGGAAGAACAAGGCCAACAGAGGTCTAAACCAATGAGAGAATCACCAGAATATAGCGGGACAGGGCAGGATCAGAATTCAGCAGCAAAAATCAAGTAGCATCTAGAAGCAGAACAGGAATGAACTTGTCACTCTGAACTTGACACTCTGGGCCAGCCAGATTAACTTCCTGGGTTTTGAGTAAGACCTCAGCATTCTTGAAGAACTGGAGCAGAAAAGATAGAGTGAAGACTTCCAATAGAAAAGAATGAATTTCTTCAGAATAAGTCAGGATGAGCTCAAGCAATGAATAGAAGGGGGGAAAGGTGTGAGCAGATCATATTAGTTATAGACACATGAACTATTCATTTACTCAAATTATATCCAAGCCAGCACCACCATCCTCAGGATTAGAGAATGACTTCCATCCTGACATGAATTCCCACCAACTTTGCAGACCAAAGGGTCGCATTTGACAGCTAAGGAAATGAATTCGTGGGCGTGTTGTGTGGGATCCCTTCTTATTTTCATGTATTGCATCTTGCCTTATAGAAATGAAGAAAGACCTAGTAAAGGTTTGGCTAAGGGGCTAGCTCAGATATAATATGTTCCAGCTGGGGTGATATTTTCTAGGATGTGATATGATTTGAACAAAGGGCTGAGATATGGAACTATGCACTCAGTCCATGAATCCAGAAGGCAAAGGGTGGGGTGAGGATGGGTATCCCTCTCATTATCACTCCCAGTGACCCAGTTGCAAATTCATGCTTCTTTCCCCTGTGTTTTCCGGGTCTTCTAGATAAAAAGTTCTGGTTCTTTAAGAGAGGGGGGAGGAAGAATTGGGTGCTTCCACCACAAGACATATGAACATGAACTATGACTGTACCTGGTCATTTGGGTCTCCTTTTGATGGGAGCCCAATAGGTAAGGACAGAGGTGTTGATCTTGACTATCATGAGTTGCTTCTACATAATTGAAACAGGGAAAGGTTTACCTGGGACTCAGGGAACTCATTCAGGCATCTCTTGGTGCCTAAATTCCTGGTGATAATGACAGTTTTGCAATTGCAATCATCTTCGCCTGACAAAGTAAATGTACCTAAGGGGCTCAAAACCCTCAGAGATGAATGTCTGGGTCGCCCCACCAAACAAACAACTTAGACCACTGACGTGCTAAGCAAAGTTGGAGGAAATCTAGGATTGGTGATAAGGGAGATCATAAATCTCAGTATTGGCTTTGGGTACAGTAATAGCAAAGTCCTATAGCCCTAACCCTCCATTTGTACAGACTGCAGCTGGCCCCCACCTTGAAGACCTTATTATTCGGGCTTGAAGCAATACAGGGGGTGAACTGTTTGAAATGCCTCTATCGTATCACCTCCTATCCACCTGCCCCACCCCTGATTCCAGCCACAACTGTCTCATGGAGCTATTCCAAGCAGACATTGACCCCTTCCATATTGATTGAACTTTCTCTTAAATACGGGCAATGTGTCTAGCTCTTTTCCTAAAGTGCTCTGTGGCTGTGGTTGAGACACATCAATGACCTACTGGAAACTTACACATGCACAGCCCAGAAGTGTCAGGGCGTTAATGCTCTATGGGACAATCCTCAAACAATGGGGGATGAGAACGAATGGATAAAGCTTTTATATTTTTCAGACTCCCTAGAAAGTTCTAGATTGACAAACAGCCACTTATCTGTAGTGATGGCCCAATTAATATACATATTTTTCATATTTTCCATCCTTTTTGTTTCTTTGCATGATTTGGCCTAGATATCTCCATCTGACTTATCTTCCACCTCTCCTTTTCTTTCCAGCTGTATCTGTACTGCTTTTAAACCCATATATTGAATTCTTAATCATAAGTATTTTATATGTTTTGTGTCTACCATCTCCACTTAAGTGTTTACTATGGTTTCCAGTTGTCTACTAAAATTCTCCATTTCGTCATTCACTTTGTTGAATATTTTATCGACAGTCATTTTAATGTCAGTGTCTGACAACTCCATCTGAATCATTTTGGCTCTTTCTTTTTTTTAAGTTTATTTTATTTATTTTGAGAGAAAGAGAGATGGAGAGCATGCGGGGGAAGGGCAGAGAGAGAAGGAGACAGAATCCTAGGCAGGCTCCATGCTGTCATCACAGAACCCAATGCAGGACTCAAAATCACAAACCATGAGATCGTGACCTGAGCTGAAGCCAAGAGTCAAATGCTTAACTGACTGAGCCACCCAGGTGCCCCTTGAATCTTTTTCTTTTGTTTGTTTTCTCTCCTTGGTTTTGCCCATGTGATCTTGTTTCCTCACACAATATTGTGTTCAAAAGCTAGATATTGTATGTGAAAACCTGTAGAAATAATCTCAACTTCTGGATTGTGTATTTTCTTATATAGAAGATTCCTTTTTGCTTATGCTAGGGCGTCTTGGTCGAGCCAAGTCTTCTTAATCTGGTTGATAACTGAACTGGATTGAAGCTAAACTTTAGGGGTTTTTTTGATGGCTGCTCACTTTTGTTCCTCTCATGTGTGATCATTTAGGTTCCAAACTAAATGTCTGGAGTCCTTTTTTTTAACTTTAATAAAGCATAATTTGCATAACAATACTTACCCATTTCAAGTGTACAACTCAGTGAATTTAAATAAATTTATGCGCTGGGTAACTGTCACCATGAATCAGTTCTAAAATGCTTCTATTGCCCCCCCAAATTTCCTTTGTTCTCATTTGCAGTCCAGCCCCACTCCTCCTTGGGGCCCCAAGGCCTAGGTCTTCACTAGGACCTTCTATTAAGCACTCCGTGAACACAGACATTGTTCCCCAGACCAGTAAGGTCATGTGATTCCTCCAAGCTTCTCCCTTCTCAGGCTTCTCTTTCTTCTTAGCTTCTTAGCTGCTGATATTAAATTGGCAGTAATTGTCAGGGAAAAGTGATTTGTCAGACTTATCCTTTCTGGGGTATTGATCACTTACCCTTCTCCCTGCTTTCCTTTCTTTGCAAAGCTTCACCTGCAAGCTATAAGGTCCAATGAGGGAGGTGCTTGGGAACTGGATGCATAAGCCTCACTAGCCCAGTAAACATCTGGGGGTGCTCCTGGTTAGCATCATACAATTTTATTTTATTTTTTAATTTAAGTGTATTTCTTTATTTTGAGAGACACAGAGGCAGCACAAGTGGGGAAGGAGCAGAGAGAGCAAGGAGGGTAGAGAGAGAATCCCAAGCAGGCTCCACGCTGCCAGCAGAGAATCCGATGCGGAGCTCAAACCCATGAAGCCCTGAGACCACGACCTGAACTGAAACCAAGAGTCAGACGCTTAGCAGACTAAGCCACCTAGGTGCCCCAGCGTCATACAATTTTAAAACTGGGCAAAGACTTGGAAATTGTTTATTTCAGCCCATTGCTTTATAGATGAGGAAATGGGAAGTCATATAACGGATGGTTTTTAACTGTGTTACTGCCGAATAGATTCCTAACTTCCATATGACATAGATTTTCTTTTTTTAATTTTTATTTATTTCTAGGAGAGAGAGAGACAGCGTGAGCAGGGGAGGGTCAGAGAGAGAGGGAGTCACAGACTCTGAAACAGGCTCCAGGCTCGGAGCTGGCAGTCAGCACAGAGCCTGACACGGGGCTCGAACCTACAAACTGCGAGATCATGACCTAAGCGAAAGTCGGACGCTTAACCAACTAAGCCACCCAGACGCCCCTGACATAGATTTTCTATCTCTAGTCTAGAGTAGTCTGTGAATTTCTTTTTTCTCCTATCAGAGTATAAGCATCATGAGAGTGAGGGGATTGCCTTACTCATGCTTGCACAAAGTGGCCATTCAATGACTGCAAGCAAACAAAACATGCTAAAAGTTCCAGGAATCATGGTGGTCGTTTCTGTTTTGTTCCCTACTATTTCCCTAGTGCTTGTTCTGTGTCCAGTTAAAAAAGAAAGGAACCACGTGTCTTGGTAGAAGTTTCACCAACTACTTGGAAGTAGTTGACAGTGTTGTCAGTTCGTGTGTGTGTGTGTGTGTGTTTGTGTGTGTGTGTGAGCTGCCTCAGTGGCAGTCATAGTTCCTTGCTCCAATGCCTGGCTCTTGCTGTTTGCGTTTTTTTTTTTTTTTAATGTTTTATTTATTTCTGACAGAGAGAGAGACAGCATGAGCAGGGAGGGTCAGAGAGAGAGGGAGACACAGAATCCAAAACAGGCTCCAGGCTCTGAGCTAGCTGTCAGCATAGAGCCTGATGCGGAGCTCGAACCCATGAACCATGAGATCATGATCTGAGCGGAAGTTGGACGCTCAACCAACTGAGCCACCCAGGCACCCCTGTTTTCGGTTTATTAAGAGCCGGAGCCTGGCCCAGGAGGGCACTGCACGCTGAGAAGTGTGCTTTGCTAACCACCAGGAGGAGCTGTGGCTCTTCCAGAACCCCAAAAGTGGGGGTGGGGCGGAAAGAGGGAAAGCATAAAGGGCACAGTGGTTCTCATCAGGGCAATTTGGTGACTTTGGAGACATTTTTTGTCCCAGCTGGGGGTGGGGCGTGCTACTGGCACGTAGTGGGTAGAGGCCAGTGCACAGGCAGCCCCCACAGTACAGAATCATCCAGTACAATATGACAATATCCGAGTTGAGAAATCTTAGGCCAAACATTGAGTTATTTGTACCTAAAGAGGTGTCCTAGAGACAACTCAAGGACAGTAAAATCATCCCGCCCAGATCTTCCCCAACTTCCATGCTCTCATTCACCTCTCCAACTGCTTTGCTCCAGTCCCATAGCGGCATCTCACTCCCTGGCAGCCTCCTGTCCCCCACATGGCTCTGCCTCTGGGACAGAGAAGACCTTCACCAGGATCGGGGGCTGCATTCTAGTCTCCCTCAAGGAGGATCATCAACAGAGCTTGCTCCTAACATCAATTCATCCATTTTAAATGGTCTGCAGCTGGTTTGTGGAAGGAGGGAACTGACCTCACCGTCAGTCTCTTGCCCACAGCTGAAGCAGTCACGGGGGCTCCCGAGCAAAAATTAGACATTCAAGGGAGCCACGACTTGAGTGGGATCACCCTGCATTATTGTGAAGAGGGAGATCCAGAGAAGAGAAAATAGCCAGACTCTGAGACCAGATCTGGGGCAGGGAAAAAGCAGAGAGGCAGAGAAATGTCATTGTTTAAAAAAAAAATTGTTCGTGTTGTTTTAGAGAGGGCCTGAGCAAAGGAGAAGATCAGAGGGAGAGAGAGAGAGAATCTCGAGCAGCCTCCATGCTCAGTGTGGAGCGTGACTCAGGGCTGGATCCCACGACCCAGTTGGTTGAGTCTGGGAGTCTGATCCCAGGCTCAGTTGATTGAGTCTGATGCCCAACCAACTGAGCCACCCAGGAGCCCCGGGAGAGGAACATCCTTAAGGAAACATGCCTGCCCCGTTCAAACAACTCCCAGAAATTCCAAACTCCTTTGAAAGGAGTGGGAATTAAAATGTCTTTGATAGGAGCAGTGCAGGAAATGAAAAACGAAGAGAGCCACAAGAATGGGGAAGTCATTCTAGGCTGTGACGTCACAGGCAGAGCGCCTGGCAGGGTTCTTACCTCAGAGAGTAACCCCTAGCAGGGCTCTGCCTGTCTCCTCCATGGGCTCCAGCCTCCTCTGCTGCGTGGTCCTCTGCCTCCTGCGAGCAGGTGAGTCCTCGGTCCAGGGCTTGTGGTGCAGCTGTGAGTCTCTAAGCCTGTGTTCATCCGGTGCCCAGCAACAGGCTACCTCCTGGGACTTGTCTCAATTCTGCTTCTTTCCTTCTCAGCCCCCCTGGACACAGCAGTTTCCCAGACTCCCAAATACCTCATCGCACAGATGGGGACTAAGAAGTTCCTAAAATGTGAACAAAAGCTGGGCCATGATACTATGTACTGGTATCAGCAGGATTCCAAGAAATTGCTGAAGATCATGTTTATCTACAATAATAAGCGGCTCATTCACAATGAAACAGTTCCAAGTCGTTTCTCGCCTGAAACTTCTGACAAAGCTCATCTAAACCTTCGTGTCGGCTTGCTGGAGACCGGTGACTCAGCCGTGTATCTCTGTGCCAGCAGTTAACACAGCTTGGCAGAGTCACTGCCTCCCTGTGCACAAACCCCCCTGGCCCAGCCAGGAAGCTGCATGGGCTACGTGTGTTCACCTGACCCTGAGGCTCCATTCGCCTCCGTGAGACCCCTAGACTGGAGTTTCCAGTCTGTAGTACAGGCTGCCGATATACCTGATGGGGCACCTCTATATTTATGCTCACAGAAGTCTTCTAGAATTCTACTTATCAGCTAGAGCAAGGGTTTCTAATACATTCATGGGAGTACTCAGGATTTCACAAACAAGAAGATCTTACCTGGTGGAAGAAGCCCTTCCTTGACTTTCTTTGCTGTACGTATTGGTACTTACTGTACAAACATTAAGACTGGAAACACACTATTCACTAAAAATGTTCGATGAGCAAAAGCCTAGAGGAAAGTGAGGTGAAGATAAAAGTTTCCAAGACCGTAGGGAAATCCAGATTAGTAATGAGTGCACTGGTTAATAGAACAATATCTGGAGAAGCAATGAAGTTCATGGCAATAGGTAAACTAGAAAGAAAGAAAGAGCTGGGGGTAAACACCAGAAGGGGTAGGCTTGTGCACTACAGACCCCCTCCTCCAGATGGGATGACCAGGGCGATTCTTCCCAATGCTGATCAAGTGGCATCTTGAAGATTCCTCCAGAGCAGGCAGCAGGCACTACCCGGATGGCAGAGGACATTGAACATTGAAAGGACTTTGGACACAAATCTCTAGGCAGTAGCTAGTCATTGGTCCCACTTTAAGTGAGATAACCTGAGCAAGTTTGTATTTGGTACAATAATGGTAGCAGAATGGATCAGAAGAGAGAGGGTTCAGGGAGGAAATAAGCAATTAAGAGACTTTGGAAATATTCCACATAATGGGGCGCCTGGGTGGCTTAGTTGGTTAAGCATCCCACTTCAGCTCAGGTCATGATCTCACGGTTCATGAGTTCGAGCCCCACGTCGGACTCTACGCTGACAGCTCAGAGCCCGGAGCCTTCTTCAGATTCTGTGTCTGCCTTTCTCTCTCTGCCCCTCCCCCCCCTCTTAAAAATAAATGAACAATAACAAAATTAAATATTCCATGTGAAAGAGTATAGACAATATAGAATAGAAGCTCTGGCTTATTTATGCTCTCCTAAAGAACGTTAGGTTTCAATCTGGCAGTTTTGAAGGATTTTCTAGGCCCCATTTCAGTCTTGCTCTCCCTAGTAGGGAGCCCTGCCACGTGGTTGTTATTACTAGTGCCCGGCCTTTCGGCGGACTCAGTGGGTATCACAGCCCAGCCACCAGTGTCTCTCATCCTACCTGGGTTCGAATGCCAATGTCATCCAGCTGAGTGTCCTCTGAAATCTTTGCTCAGCCATCCAGCCTACTATGTGTCCTCTGCTCAGCCTTCTGGAGTCCTTCCCTGAGCATACACACCAGGAAGTAGCCAAGAAAAAAAAAAGGAGGATTTCCTTACACTCATTCTTGGGGTTCCTTTTCAGTACTCTATGCCCCAATCCAAGCTGTCTTGGGATCAGTTATGTCCAGTCTAGTGATCTGCAAACAACATACGCTATTGCTATTTTATACAGATAATGTTTATTTGAATTTCCTTTCATGTTCACCATTCTACTCCTTCACTGTTTCTTCTTGCGTCAGGTTTTCCTTATATCATTTTCCTTCTTCAGGCACATCCCTAATTCAGATACCTTAAACCCACCTTTCACCCACCACTTGCTTTGGGAAATGCTTATGCCAGCTTTTGTTCTCAGGGCAACCCAGCCTTTCTCTCCCACTTATTGTTCAAGGTTCCAGTTTAAATTATACTGTTTTTTGTAATCCTGGGAAGTTTACTTATTGGGAGCCAAACAATCCAAGTTTTTGTGGTTTCATCATCGTAGAAAGGCCAATCAGTGTCTTCTTACTACAATGGATGTCCAGCGTAATAAGTATAATAGTAGCAATGCCAGCCTTTGAACTAGGGTTAATTTTTGGTTCTTGCCTAAAAACGGAATATCTCCACCTGGAGTGAATTAGAGGTCCCTCATATATGTAACCTGTTCAGGAGGAGAATATCCAACTCCTTTGCTTAACTTCTCACCCATACACTCTTACATTTTTGGTTTTATGGGCAACCCTGAAAATCCGATAGACTTTGTAACATTAGAAAAATGAGTAGGAATTGAATGTCCTATGTATGTGGATGAACAGCAACGTGGCCAGCTCTTTTAGTTGTTTCAGCAGCTTCTTTCATCTTCACACTTCTGTGAATCTTGTGTCATCAAAGCGCCAACCCCTCCCGCTCCCCATCCTTGGAATGAGGGGTAGAGCGCCCTCTGCATTACCGCCCCTGGGCTGGTAAGAAGCCAGAAATCTGGGAAATGTGCTGCCTTGGCCACAAGGAGGCGCTGTGGCTCTATTGAAAATTCTGAGGCTGGGGTGAAGGGAAGGGTTGAGTGTAAAGTGAGGGAAGGGGTGAAGAGGAAAGCGGTGCATTGGGGATCTATCTTTGGGTCAGATGGGAGCATCAGTAGCAGATACCACAAAGATACTAAAGTCGTTTCCAAATTGATTTCCCTTTGCCCAGAGAGGATGCTTTGAGCATCCTGTTTGCTCTAAACCCAGCCAAGCTCTGTACTCTCAGTACTGGGGCAAAAGGGTGGGTGATCCCTTGTCTCCTCAGCCACCCCTCCCAGCGTCTGGTTCCTGGCTGACATCCAGTCCTGCCTTTTTAATGGCTTTAATGACGTTTTATTTAAAAATAAGGATGGAAGTTAACAGCAGGGTACCATCTGTAGAGGAATAGCTCAGCCCAATCCATTCAAATCCATCTTCTATCAGAATCTGTACAAGGTGTGAGGCGGGAGGAAGAAATACCCCGCTGGGGCTGGGACGGTGACATCACAGGCCAACCACCAACCAAGGCCAAGGAGACTAGAGCCCGGCCCCCTGCCCAGGACACCCTAGTTAGATGATGCTCACCTTGACCTTGCCTCTAACATGGACTGCAGGCTGCTCTGCTGTGTAGCTCTCTGTCTCCTGGAAGCAGGTGAGTCTTGGGTCCCAATGGGCTGGCCCTGGACCCCAAACTGAGTCCCAGGGGCTGCAGCAGCATTCTTTGTGTGAATTCTGTCCCTTTCTTCCAGCAGTCCCCGTGGACACTGCAATTACCCAGATACCAAAACACCTGCTCGCAGTGACAGGGAGTAATCAGACCCTCAAGTGCGAACAACATCTGGGACATAATGCTATGTTCTGGTATAAACAGAGCGCTCAGAGCCCACTGAAGCTCATGTTTGCCTACAACTATAAGAAGCTCGTTGAAAATGACAGTATCCCCAGTCGCTTCACACCTGATTGCCCAGACAGCTCCCACCTGGACCTTCACGTGGCCACCCTGCAGCCAGATGACTCTGCCGTGTATCTGTGTGCCAGCAGCAAGGACACAGCCCCGCACAGACAGCTGCTCCCTGTGCACAAACCTCCCCGGTGCAGTCAGGGAGCCGTGGGGATGACCACGGCTCAGCTCAACGTCTCCCGCGGGGCCCCAGACAGCAATCCCAGACCATGACGCTGTCAGTCGGCCGGGTGCAGCGATGCCCCGGTCCCTGCACAGACGCCCACAGCCTGTGACCGGCTCTGCCCGGGTGCCCCCATGCCCGCCGCTGAGGACAGGACAGGAACGGTCCACCCGAGGTCCCTCCAGGAGCTTCCGATCGGCACGTGGCCCCGGGGAAGCTCTCATGAGACGCGTCCCTCTCTGGCCACAGAGGCGCTGCCCAGCCTCCTGCCCACAGGTGCCTTTCTCCGATGTTCTTTCCACCCAGGTGAGACCCTGGACCTCAGCCCCGGTCCCAGCCCCAAACACGCTCAGCCCTTTTCCAGAACACCTGCTTGCCTCCCCACGGGGCCCTGTCGGTTCCCACCACTGAAGACAGGAGCTCCCTTGTGAGGTTCGGGTCGCTGTCCTCTAGGTCACTCTCTGCTGCACATCTGGGGACTCACCTCCGGACGGGCTTCTCTTCCTCTCAGGCTCTGACAACTTTAAGGCGTGGTTCTTTTTCCTTCTGTCTCTTGGATTCTAATTCTTCAGGTCTTCACATCCTGCGTACCAGCCACTGATGGCCCTGGATTGTTGCTCACCATAGGCAGGAAGGGGTGAAGGCCCCCCGACATTTCAGAGCAGGACCGTATACTCAGGGCCGTCTGTGCTGAACCCCATATTTTCTGGCATTGCCCCCCCACCCTGCACACACCATCAGACCTCAGAGGCCGAGTGGAGTCCTGTGTCCTGAGGAGTCTGATGTGTGCACTGACACACAGCCTCCCTCCTCTCTCCTGTAGGGGGCAGTGGAGACACCTGAGCAAAGTTTCAGACCAAAAAACCACCTGCCACTTCACCCAGTGTGGGAACTCTCCAATCAAAGCACATCTTTCAGGTGTGGGGTTTCTTTTACCTAAATGTGACTCTTCCCTGTCCACTGGTTGAAAGAGAAACACTTGTGGATTCAGTGTTTTTAAGGCCTCTTTGATCATGAAATAAAAGCAGCCTTTGGTCGAGTGGATTGTTTGGTTTAAGGTTTCACAGGGATCCTCTAAACAAGCACTGTGTCCCCACAAGTCACGCGCTACAGAGAACCAGAGGACAAGACGGGGGTCCTCACACGCGGTGTGTTGCTCCTGACTCTTCAGGTCCTGGGTGTCTGAGCCTCTGTCCTCAGGAACCAAGGGATCCCTGCTGCCATTGCCTTTGCCACTCAGGGTCCACACGGCCTTTGGGGAATCGGAGAAAGGGCTTCAGGCAAGGTTTCAGTGTCAAAGCCAGCTGCAAAGGGAAGTGGGAGACCCAGCCTTTGGGAAATAGGTTTGAGACGTGTGTGTGTGTGTGTGTGTGTGTGTGCGCGCGCGCGCGTGTGTGTGTGTGTTCGCCAGTTCTTTTATTCTGTAATCCAGCTGTCTTTCTCTGACTTCTCTTTTTTTCCCCATTCAAGGCTAGACCTTGGGCCTCAAAGCTGCAGAGACACCTGTTCTATACCACACAGGCAGCAAACGGGCGTCCATTCCCACCAGTTCAGAACCAGTGGACACTGGGCTGGGTACTTAACATTCTCATCCATTCTCTTTCCTTTGCGCTGAAATGTCCTGTCAGATTTCAGGTCTCTGCTCCTCACGTGGGCTCCTCTCCACACTATGCTCAGAAGGTTATTTCTTTTCTTGGTCTCTTCATTCCCAACGTTAAGTCATCAGGCTCAGAAGTGTGAGTCACAGAGTCGTAGCCTCTGGACCGTAGCTGTGATGTGGCCGTGGGGAGGAGAGCGAGTCCCGCTGGAGCCCTGGGATGGCTGTCCTGAAGCCCTGACTCTGCGAGGGTCCCTCAGCAGCTGCAAACCTTCAATGGAGCATGCGGGCAAGGGCTGGGTCTTGGGGCATCGCGTGCGGACAGCGGGCGGATTCCTCCTCCCTCCTACGGGGGTGTTCTTGAATCTGCAGGTGCTGCCAAGCACTGTGACATCACAGGGTCTACTTCCTCGGCTACTAATGCCCAGATGCCCCATGGGGAGAGGCCTCCCCTCACCCCACCCCTGCCATGGGCAGCAGGCTCTTCTGCTGGGTGACCCTGGGTCTCTTGGGAGTAGGTGAGTCCTGGGAGTGTGGGCAACATTCTTTTCCCACCCCCTTTATCTAAGGCCAGTTCTAAACTTCTGCCTCATTCTCTTTCCAGTCTCTGTCTCCACCCAAAGGGCACAGGGAACCCAAAAGTCACCCAAAGCCCTAGCTGCTACATCCCAGAGATGAGATAGAGCGTGGCTCTGAAGTGTGAGCCCATTTCTGGTCACTTGTACCTCCTGTGGGACCCACAGAGCCCAGAAAGGGGAGCGGAGTTACTGATTTCCATCTATAAGAGCTTCCTTGAGAGAAGACAGACTTTGTGAAGAGCTAATTCTCAGCTAAGGCTCCTGACAGATCGTACTTGCTCTGAAGACCCTGGCTGCACCGCTCAGGGGCTCAGCAGGGCACCCCTGTGCCAACAGCTCAGCCGCAGCCTTGCAGATGCTTCCTGCCCTCACCCAAACTCGAGGTTTCTTGGCCCCCCACCCCCAGGCGTACCCGCAGCCCTTCCTGCCCAGATGCCTGGGGGGGGTGCGGGCTGGGGCTGCAGCAGTTTCCCATGAGCAAGGGTCAAGCAGTTACCATTAATTTGCAGAATAGGGAATTTGCACAGGAATATCTAGGGCTGTGGTATTCAGGAAATATTGTCAGGTGCCATGGAACATGGCCATGGGCCCTAAGGATGGGACAAGTATGGCCAAGTGAGTAACCAGAGGCTACAGAGGAACCTGTAAAGGACTGACTTTTCAGAAGCTAAGACCCGAGGATTCTTGAACAACCAGCTGGAGGGATGATGTAGGGAACACTTTATGAGGGAGATACTATATTTCCTATAGACATATATTTCCTATAGATAGAAGGCAGATAGACTTCAAGTGTTCAGTTAGAAAGATAAATCGGTAGTAGTGTTCAAGGCAAGTTGCATTTATCATATTGGTTATACACCTATTTATTTATTCAGTTACTAATTCATTCATTTATTCTTTTTCTTAAGTTTTTTTTAAATTTATTTTGAGAGTGAGTGTGTGAGATCAGGGAGGGGCAGAGAGAGAGAGAGAGAGAATCCCAAGCAGGTCCCGCACTGTCAGTGCAAAGCTAGACTCAGGGCTAGAACCCACAAATCGTGAGATCATGACCTGAACAGAAATCAAGAGTCGGACATTTAACCAACGGAGCCACCCAGGCACTCCCATTCATTTATTCATTGAGCAGACAATATGCTACCCCAAGGTATGGAAAGTTATGGTTAGTGCACCACAGGGACCCCATCGGCATTGGAAGAAGAATCAGTCACAGGGTCATATATGAATTGGGGGGGTCAGCCTTCCCTAGTCAGGAAACTCTCCTTCATGCCGGGAAGTGGCTGGGTCCTCAAGAAAGGGGGCTGAGGCTGCGAAGACAAACACCATGGAGAGAACATGCAAAATGAAGACGAGAGCTGTGGGAGGGGAGCCAGAGAAATGGTCCTGAGGGCAGTGGCCATGGTCCCCCAAGGAATGTTGCTGGGGGGTTTCCCTGGCAGGCTGGCGCTGAGAACACCGTCTCTTATTCCCTGAGGAACCACGAAGGGCTGAGCACAAGGGCACCAGGGACGACCCCCTGTGCCGGTGGTTACAAAAGCAGAGCACGGGGCAGCGGATGGCATATAGTGGCCAACACCCCGGATCCCCTAATCCTGACCCTGGGAAGCAGCAGACAAGGCCAGTTTTCCTGGAAACCGGGAAGAAATGCAAGTCCCTGACACAACCCAGCAAATGGAAATCTCCACGAGTCAGCGCTGGTTGGGTTCAGCCTCAGGTGGAAAGTGATTCAGGAACAATAAACAGTAAACCGTGGGGCTCCTTAAGGACTTGTAGGGCATCAAGCCAGGCACACGCCTGCACTTCAGTGTTGGTAGGTGAGTGCCCAGAATTAGTGCCTTTTGGATATCCACGAATATGTGCTCTTCCTTTGCAAGGACAGTGTAGGGAGCTCTGTGAACCTCTGGTAACATGTGTATTTCACAAGTAATTTTAGAAAGACTTCTGTTTGGAATGATACAAAAATATATTAATGGTGTTGATCCTGGATAGCGGGATATATTCTTTATTTCATGAAGTGAAATGCATAATATAAATGTTATTATACACATTTTGTCAAATGGGAAAAGTAGCAACAGCACCCCAAGATACAGACACATCATCACCTCTTGGTCTAAGTCCTCTTCCAGTAAGTACCCATCCCACAGGTAATCAATCAATCACTGCTCCGTGTCTATCATCATAGATTAGATGTTCTTGCTCTTGAATTTCATATGAATGGAATCATACACTTTTTTGCAACAAGCATCTTTCGCCTAACATATGCTTTTGTTATTCATCCTTATTGTTATGTGTATTAGTAATTTATTCTTTTTTTATTCTATGTATTTTTTTATTGTGTGACCCCCCCCCCCCCAATTGTATATCTACTTACATGTTGATGGCCCCATGGGCTGTTTGTAGGTTTGGGCTATTGCATTCTGGTAGAAGACCTTGGTGTGGACGTATACTTTTATTTCTCTTGGGTAAATACCCAGGAGTGAGATTGCTGAATTATATGGTAAGTACTCATTTCATTTTTTTTTAATATTTTTATTTATTTCTAGGAGAGAGAGAGAGAGAGAGAGAGACAGCGTGAGCAGGGGAGGGTCAGAGAGAGAGGGAGACACAGACTCTGAAACAAGCTCCAGGCTCTGAGCTGGCAGCCAGCACAGAGCCCGATGCGGGGCTCGAACCCACGAACCGCGAGATCATGACCTAAGCGAAAGTCGGACGCTTAACCGACTAAGCCACCTAGGCGCCCCAGTACTCATTTCATTTTATAAGAAGTGGCCACACTGTTTTCCCACATAGTGATACCATTTAGCCTTCTTGTCAAAAATGTGAGTCCTGTTTGCTTCCCTTGTTCGCGCTGCAGAGAAAAGTAGGATGGGAGGAAGAAGCCGATACAGTCGTTCCAAAGAGTTGAAGCCAGTACTACATTCTGCTGGGAAATACCACACAGGAAACATGGAGGGCTCCAGCGACAGCGAGGATATGGGACCCAGGGAATTTACTGGAAACCTTCCTGGCGCAGCTGACAATATAAACACTTTCAGTTTACTAAACAGAGGCACTGTGCTTCCAGTGAGACACAGAAGATGCAGGAAGGGGCAGAAAGAGCTGGGGATGTCAGGGAAAGGGGGTTAGAAAGGCTTTGTAATTTGTCAGGCAGATTAATTACTAGGCCACTACAGATTACCAGTGTTAAAAAGACAAAATTCAACCCAAGTGAATTTGAAGATCCAACTGGCTTTATTAAGCAGTTAATGCACAGGGCGCCAGGTGGCTCAGTCAGTTAAGCGTCCGACTTCGGCTCAGGTCATCATTTCACAGTTTGTGGGTTCAAGCTCTGCATTGGGCTCTGTGCTGATAGCTCAGAGCCTGGAGCCTGCCTCGGATTCTGTGTCTCCCTCTCTCTTTGCCCCTCCCCTGCTCATGCTCTGTCTCTGTCTCAAAAAATAAGAAATAAACATTAAAAAAAAATTTTTTTAAAGCAGTTAATGCATGGTGCAGCATCCCATTGAGCAAGTAGAGAGATGCTCCAAGGAGTCATACAAAATCTAAGGTTGTTCTAGAAGGAACGATGCGGAAAGGAAGTTATTGGCAAAATAAAGAAGAGCAGTGCATGTTCAGGGTACTTTCTCTCTTTCTTTCTTTTTTAATTTTAATTCCAGTGTAGTTAATATAAAGTGTCACATTCTTTCAGGTGTGTGATATGGTGATTCAACAGTTCTATCCGCTTCTCAGTGCTCATCAGGATACGTGGAATTTTTATCCAATTCACCTGTTTCCCCCGCCCCCCCCCCCCACCTTCCCTCTGGCAACCACCAGTTGGTTCTCTATAGTCAACACTCTGTTTCTTGCTTTGCCTTTCTCTCTCTTTTTT